TGCTGTTTTGTAAAGAACTTATTAGAGTCCCAGAATGATTTCTTCCTGTCTATACCTTGAAGCATGAACCATGAAGTTTTCACTTTTCCCAGTTATCTATATCGCTGACTTTAGCTCATTAGCTAGCTAACAGTCACAGCTGTGTAAAACCCAGAGAGAAGGAGACAATGTTACTATAATATTTATGAATACTGGTCTTTATCCAGCGCTGGATAAAAGTTGCATGTTTGTATACATTATTATTCAGACATTATAAATACACTGTTTAATTCAGACTAGTTCAGCACATGCAACCACAAAGGGAAGGGTGACAGTTATTCAGGTGATGATCGTGATCATCATCCTCCACAAGGCCTGTAACCCACACAAGGTCACTGATAAAAAGGCTGGCTGTTGGCAGAATGCTGAATCAAAGCATTTCAATAGAAAGGAAAAATCTGATAGGAAAAGGTGCAGAAAGAATAGGGCTGACGGCAGCCTTCTTTTGAAAAATTGTTTGAAGAACTTGGGAGAGCATTATTAAAAACATTACCTTTTTTTTTAAGTCATATTCTACTGTTCTCATAATTAAAACAAAAAACAAAAAACTGTCTCGCTCCTTTTTTCCAATGCCTGGAGGTAATCTTTTTGTACTAATGTCACCATGAACTTCTTTATGATAACCCACCTGACTCTGGACGTCCTGGAATTGTTGCAGGAGGTTAAATAATACATGATCTATGAGGAATGAGTCAGTTAATAATTTTCTGCCACTATAAACGCTCAGTGTTAGATTACAGGAGAACACATGAGTTTATTTGAAAGACAAGCATAATAAAAAAAAAGCCATATAGTAAGTTTTGTTGTAACTGCTTGTTACAACAAAGCTATGCAGAGGATGCCCAGCAGAAGACCATACGCGCCACTGCAGTCAGCTAAGAATGCAAACTGAGGCTACATTTCACACAAGCTCACCAAAATGTACGTTTGGGGGAAAAAAACATAGGAAAATGTTGCCTTATGTGATGATTTTACATTTATGCTGTGACAATGATCGGGTGGTGGTTGATCAGAAGTGGTTCAGACTGGTGCTGGTGATGTGATGATGTGGAGGATATTTTCCTTGCACTTTGGGCTCCTTTCTATAAACTAGTTATTGGTTAATGCTACAGCCTACTGGAGTTTTGTTGCTAACCGTGTCCATCCCTTCATGACCAAACCGCACCCATCTTCCGCTGTCTGCTTCCAGTAGGATGAAGCATCATGTCATAAACCTCAGATCATCTCACACTGGTTTCTTGAACTTGACTGTAGCTTAAAAAGACTCCACAGTCAAGAGAACTCAGTCCATGTATATTCTACTGAAGTACTTCAGAACAACTTCAAGGTAGTTTCATTTTACTTGAGTATATTTGCATATTGTTTAAAGTATTTAATCTCTCATTTCTGCTTTAAAATCTAAGGAATATGATCAACTTCAGCACTTTTACTCCAATGTTTGATTCACCCCACTGTTCATTAAAAGAGTCTAGGTTGAAAACATTTGCAGGTGGGTAAATAAATTGCCAACATCTAGGGCTTGACCTTTTTTTACGAGCTTTTATATGTCAGAAGCCCTAACTTATATTCAGGTGTCAACACCACATTTACCACAGAGGAGCTAAATAAAAACCAATCCGCTTTTAAAACTAACAGTTGTCATTGGTTAAAGTACCAAATCTGCATGATGGGTTGCATTTGGGTCACAAGTAAATAGTGACTCCCATCCTCCCCCCCTCACACCACTGATAAAGATGGGACACCAGTCGGTTCAGGTATTAAACACAGAACACATTGTCAGATTAATTGTGTGATTGTGCTGTAAATATTAAATGTACCGGACTTACATTTTAATCCCTCTGTCCTCTAGTATTGCTTTGCTTTGAACGGGTTTCCATTCAATTTAGAAATGAGTGATTTGTATTTCATGTTCTAGGCTGCTGCCCTAAGAAGACAATATTGTAATTACAATAAGCTTCTTATACGCTGATACAATTATTGAGGTGAGGAGTTTATTCTGTTGCGTGAAAGTGGGACCTTATGCTCTTTCAATTTAGAAAACAACACAAGTTTGATGAGGATAAAGAAATTTGATCCCAGAGCATATGCCACGTCTTTGGGGAATTATTTTATGCCAACAGAGAACAGCTGGCGATACATTTATCACCTTGCTACTGTCTGGGATTATGTGGTCAACATAGCAGTAGTGTAAGAAGTACACAAATCCTTCACGTGCGTAAAGTACTACAAATGCAAAATGCACAGTTTCAAGTAAAAGTCCTGCACTGGAGATAGTATGAGTATGGCCCTTTTGACTTATATCTTCATGCTTTTCATTATTAGATAGCAAATGAAGTATATTACTTCTTTTATTGTGAGATTATTAATGAAGAAACAAAGAAAAAATAAATTCTGCAGCACAAACAATCTCTTTAAAACGTCTCTTATCCCAGCATTCTTGAACATATCATGGATTTCCAACTTTTTGGACCTTGTGAGCTAGTTAAATGAAACATCCCGGATAGTTTCTACTACTAAACACTCACAGACAACTGAAAAGCATTAAGGGTCCTGAAGCAGACACAAGTCTTATTGTGAAAGGTCACAATCTATTTTTGAGGATGTGTTATAAGATTGTTACCTTACACTACACATATGAGACTTTAAATCAACATATTGTTGATTCAGTGTACAGATTTGACTGTTTTTTTAAAGCATCGCGATAATTCTTTCTTTCTCTCCAATCTGCACGTCATGGAAATAATCGTTGCAGTCCTCACAGGCAGTCCTGCATGTCGTGCAGATGCAGCAGGGAGTCACTGCTTAAACATATCTGCATCAGTAACGGCACTCTAAAGTTACCATAACAGTGGAAAGGGACTATTTTTGCATTAAATACTTTAACTTTTAAAACGTCTGTCCGCCTAATTACAGTCCCATACACTGGCTTTTCAGCACAGTAATTGGACTTGTCATGAAGTATCTTAGAGCCCAGTATTAGTTATTTCACTCCAACAGTGGGAGCTGAATGTTTCCTTTTCACCGCTGGCACAGAAAACGCGGAGGACGAAAATGAAGACGTGTGTCTTTAAAGGGTTAACGGGGGGAGGAGGCGCAGCAGCGGTCAGCTCGCCTGGGTGGAGTGAACTTTAGATATGTAGTACAACAAATTAGCCAGGAGGAGAGCGGTGTGGCAGAGTGAAAACCCCCTAAAAGACTAGATTACTCGCTTAAGAAAAAACCCATCCTGGCCGGTAAGAGACGCTCCAAACACTGAGCTGAGATGAGTGATGTGAGCGAAGAGTCGCTGCTGGATTATTTCTACTCGGCCGGGGGCGACTCAGGCAGAGTCAAAAATGCAGATATACTGAGGACATTTAAGCCTTTTATTGGGCACAGTGACTTGCAGTTACGTGGTAAGTAACCAGAGGTTGTATCGTGGATTTAACTCCGTGGAAATATTAGGCGGAAAAAAAACCGGGCAGATGAAATGAGATGAGGTCGTGCTGCATCATTAGAGCGGGATGGCAAAATACCAACTGACCTCGTGTTAGTATGACAGTCCTCATAGTAAGACTAACATTTATCTTTTGGTTTGTTTGTGTTTTAAACACGCAACATCCCCTTTGTCTGCTTTAACAAACTGCTTTGGGGTCGTTTTCATTGTTTTCAGTTGGAAAGGAGACATCTGGTTTACATTAAAAAGCCCCTCCAATGAGTTTCAGCAGGAATTGTGTCATTTCCTCCCTCGGGCACGTTTCTAACTCAAACAGAGGACCCGAGCCACCCCATCAACAAAACATGTCACTATGCAGTGTCACAAGAAGGCCCCGTGGCTCCTCCTCAGAAATGAAAACGACCAGTGGTTATAACTAGTTATTACTTGGCTTTTATGCACCATTTGAGCCCAGGATCAGTGTGTTTGCCATAGAGACTTTTTCTCCTGTTCTTCTCCACCCACCCACCTACTACAGATGCTTATGCAATCATGTCCTGAGTCACTGCTGACACCACGATTCTTCTGTTTTTGGGTTTCTGCAGGAAAAAAAAAGTGTTTGGGAGTAAAGTTGTGTAACTCTATGTACTCATAGATATGCTTAGCTAAAACAACATTCTAACATTCTGACAAAGAACCTCACTTTCATAGAAGATATCGGAACTATAGAGAGAAAGGGTAACATTTTAGCTACAAATTATTTGAAAAAGTTACACCTTTAAGCATTAAAATATACCGTATGCCTTTGGCAGACAGAAGGTTTGCTTTAACTGCCTTATTGGGTCTAGTATGGTGATAGCCTATATATAAAGATGGACATAACCAGCATGAAGTCATCCACTGTGCAGTGCAATCGTGTTATGAAGCCGCAAACCCTTTATTATACTTATTTTTTCCATGTCCTTAAGTTGAGATGAGCCACCTCCTACTGACCATTAAAAATCTGCTTCTGCATTGGCTTCCCTTTGTAGACCCTGTATCCATATCCATGTTTTGTAGACTGTGGGTTATGACTATAATCGGTCCATAATTTAATTGGTATATTTATTGACTGGATGAACTAATTATTTTTATCAGCCATGGTTACCTTCAACCAATGACATCAATGACCCATAGAGAGAGTTGGAGCAGTTTTGAAAGGGTTGACTACACTCAGCATAGCTACGTAGTGAAAAATCAATTGATAATTACCTACGTAAAAACAATTTTACATAGAAGCACATTCATAAGCAGTCACTTTCAAAACCTTACAGGTTTTAAGCTTCGTGTTCGTTGACACGCCCAAAATACCCATAGCTTTGAACTTATTGGCCAGCAGTTCCTTACAATGGCTTGATTAACATGCTGCCATAGACTGTGTGGTAGCACTGGGCAGAGACAGATAATTAACAGTCAACTCTAGCAGAAGGAAAAGAAAATGGAAAGATGGATTTTCATTCTTTTCTTCAGATTTCTTATTGTTAGAATCATATGGCTGCATTATAGAAGATTTCACTCCCTGTACAGTGGTCATGAAGAGGAAAATTAGCTATAAATAACAATACCACTTTTGTTCAAGACTGTAAACATGTTTATTTCAGCAGTAAATTGTGGCATTTTAACATATGGGTCTCTGGAGAATGGCTTGCTAAAGCGGCCTCTGGAAGATCTCTTGGCAAATATGATTGGCTTAATTATTTTTAGACTGCACACAAAAGTCACAGACAAAAGAAACAGAACTCTATGTAGGTGTGACTAACTGACATACATACCAGCAGGTATTTAAAGCAGAAGCAACATCTCATACTGTTTTTGTGTATTGTGCAAACAGATAAAGCAAAGATTTAACAGCTCAGGGAGTTATGAACTAAACAATAACAGGCGTCTGTGTCATAGAGTGGCAGCACCCGAACTAAACGTGCACATCAAACTGGTTTGGTGACATAAACACAGTTAAAGGTGTCACTTGAAACCACTTGAAGTTAGTGGTTATATCAGACCACATGAAGCTGCAGCACCGTGTATCAACTTAATAGCACGTTAAGGTTTATGAATACATTTTCTCTTTTCTCTAACAGGAGGATTATTTGTTTTTATTTTATCTTTTCAAAAGCTGTGCAGCACATCTCTTTTGTGTAGGTGTGCCTGCTAAACTAACAGCTGCGAGTAAGAGCACGTCTCACGAAGGCAAACAATGAGCTTGTAATGCTGTATCTAGTCCCTGTTCAGCAGTGATTTTACTTTTGTGACTGCCTGGAAATGCAAACATATTTTAACCTTCTCAAATGATTATCCAGAGTGACCTTGTATTGCAGTTGCCAGCATGCACTGTCCAGATGCTGCATCAGCACTGCAGTTGTTGACAGAGGTTTAGAGAGCTGCTTTGATGCTCTGCCATCTGACATCGCTGTCCAATTAGAAAAGTGCTTCCCACACATTTAAAGTCTGTCGTGGCATGCGGTTGCAGCTTTTCCTCGTGTAATTGTGGCGATAGTGTTTTAATCATAATTAAGTCCACATGCATGACTGGATGTAGACCTCTAATGGGGGCGTTTTTGTGCGTTTTTTTTTTAAATCAGACAACAAATCTGGGGCAGCTGGTAAAAGTGTAGCAGTGTTTGAGGGGAGGGGGGTACATGAAAGTGAGTTTGTGCGTGGGTTGCTTGTTTTTTGCAGACCTCTGGCTAACAAGTAACTAGCACATACACGATATTACCCACTGTGCCATGCAAGGAATTCTTTTGTTTAGGCAGATGTAAGTGGCCACTTCCTTTGGATTTCCTGTTGTTGCGAATGCGAACTTTGCAACTGTCTCCCTACAAATGTTCTTTCCGTCCACATGAGGAAAAGGAAACGCTCCAATTGTCCTGAGCCGCATACTCACATAAACACCTTGGCGTGAATGGAATACCTACGTCTGGAAAGGTTTATGTTTGCGAAGCCGTCCTGGCTGCCTGATGATTAGTGTTAGCTTTTAATCACACTTTCTGCACAAGACTGATATCTCCTCACTGGTGTAAACAAAGGGCAGGAAGCTTTATCTGATCAGCTCGTCACTTTGTTTGGTTCTCACAGGAAAGATTCACTGTAGGTTTTCAAGTGACTCGAGTTTTTAGCCTAAGGGATAAGTTAAATTCTGTTTACATATTTGGCTGGAGGGGAACGTATTTTCTCTTTCTTTAAACTGAAGATTGTAAAACATCTGCTCTGCCAGTAGTGTTCTCATCCAAACCTCACTTTATCTGAAGTAACAAGACAAATAACAGAACCCAACAGCTTTACCGGCAGACTCACAAACAACACATCTAGTATAAACACTAGAAATATATTCAGCTCCGTTATTGTGCTGTTTAATAAATATTATCTATTGTGCATCTTTGGGTATCTTAAGGTCTATGTACGCAAAACACATTCTTCTTATCGTCTTACATCCTGCATCCACATCACTACAACAGTGTTTTGTGTCCTTTTTTCCATCCTTATTTGACTTTTTGAGTATTGGAAGCACTCATGTACCACTTAATGTTTTTAAAAAAAAAAAAACATTAGAAACTATATTTAGTTTCCTGTTTTTGAACTCAAATATTTTTTCTTTTGCAGCCAAATACCGAGAGGAATTCAAGCTAATCATTGACCGAGTCGCTGTGGTGAAGTCTGAGAATGTAAGTAAACTACTCAAATATTTTTACCTTTTCTGGGAAAAGCTATGCTCTCATTGATTTTCCAGTCATACGTCTTACACAGAGGCCATGCTGTGAAAGGCTCAGCGGAACCATCGTGACTGAACAAGGGGTTGTCCAATCTGTTCAATCTTTGTGTTTTGTAGAACCGTTTGTACCCACTGGTTTCCCCCAGGGGACACAGCTGCAGTTTGTGTTTCTAGACACTATTTCCATGAAGCGTTCTCATATGTAGACTAAAAATTCCTGCAAGAATAAACAGAGTAAACTCATCTGAGTTATAGATTTGATGTTTCTTTCTTGAAGAAACAGTTTGAAATGAACAGCACGCTTATCTGTGTGATAAATGTGAAGATACAGAGGGAGGTCTGGAGACTTATCTTAGCTCGCTGATCACTCTTTAAAAAGAAGCACCTATCAGCAGCTTTAAAGTTCAGTAAATGACAAAATATCAAACCTGTGTAAATGTGCAAAAGAAAACGTTTAAAAACAAATTTTGGTGCTCTAACAGTTTCTTTTGGCAAATGCAGATACAAAATGCTAATCCCTGTAAACCAGCAATGTGTCGTTTTTACATTTATGTTTATCAGATTTAAACAGACTAGATGTAAAAGGTTATTTAATGGCTTACTGTGGAGTTTCATGCCTTGTGATGGAGCACGGTTGTAATTTTTTGTAAAGAAACTAATTTAGTCCTGGGTTTAACTTTGTACTTAAAGCTGCACTAGATCTAATCTAGATGAGCCCTCCTCCTGCAGCTCCCCCAGTCTGTTCTAAACTACACAAATATTTATAGTACAGTACTGACTGGATCTGTTCTGAAAAAACAAAAAACAACAATCCAAAAAACAGTTTGACCAAAATCTTCACAACAGTTAAACTTTATAAATCCTGAAAATTGGAAGAAGTGCTGGCGTGTTGCATCCTCTCAGATCACTTGAATCACAGCATGCTAAGAGACAGGGATGTGTCTCATAACTCCTGGTCCTATACATAACAGCCTCTGTGGGCCCCCTTCTTTTCTTGATCCATATTTCTCACACGTCTTCTGATATATTTTTTTAAACAAAGAATAAGCCAACAACTGTGCACAACAATGTGTAGTGGTCCTAAAGATAGCCAGTAATCAAATGTTTGTTTATTTATTTAAAAAAAATTTATAATATGTCTATAAATCTATATCATTCAGTCCTCATTTCTCACTGTAGTATAAAATCACTAATTGTTAAATGAGTTTTGCTTTGAGAGGTCAAAAAGTGACCACCTAGGCCACTGTGATTGTAAATAATGTGCATATATATATTTTTTTTCATATTTTGGATGGACAGAAACATTATGTGCATATTTTGATAATATCTTTAGAATTTAAAGTAATGAAGGAATGAATGAACTGTAAAGCTCAAATTGCAGTACCTTGATAAAGTATTAATAATAATAGTAGGTTGAAATGCAAAGTTAGGTTTATGATTTCCTGTTTGTGCTCCTTTTATGTTAATTAAGTACCCAGCAAATATTTTTTAATTAATTCAGAAGCATTGTCATCGTGACATTTTGAAATCCTGTTTCATCAGCCTGGCTGGTTTTCTCAGAAGGCCTTCTTTACCTCACAGCACAGCTGTTAAAATCAATGGGTCCAACACACGATAAAGGCTAATGCTGCCTTATGTTAGCACTGCTAAGCTTTCTGTTGGAATTGCTATCGATATATGAGTAACTTTTAGTTGCCACTGAACAAGCATATTTTGTGTCAACATCATTTGTTGATGGACTTGTTGCTCTTTCTGAAATTAAGTGCCATGCATTTCATGATGGTAATTTGTGCTGGTGATTTTACCACTACAATGGCCTGCTAAGAAATTATTATGGACTTTTCGTCTAATGATGCCAGCTGCAGATAGATGTGAGAGTACTATTGATTTTCCCATCAGAATCTTGGCATCATAAACTTTACTAACCTACATAATATATGATCCAATCTGCAGACTTTACAGTGCTTAGATTCATGTAACCTGGACAAAGTTTTTTTTAGTTGATGCTACAAAAATTCTTTAATATTCCAACAGGATTTATTTAAATAGTAAGGCTGTAGCTAAGGATTGTTGTGAATTAATCTGCTTCAGCAGTAAACGGTGTCTGGGGTTAGTATCTTTAAGTGTTTATCTTCTAGCTGCCTAACTGTCCAAAATCCAATGATTTTCAATACTGACAGAGAACAGCAGCAAATCCTCACACTGAGGAATTAGATTAGATCAGTTAATCAAGCAGCTGAATGATCACCTCAGCTGTAATTCAAAGAAGCTAACTCAGCTTTTGAGGTTTAATAATTGGGTTCAAAGGGCATTAAAGATGTGAGGTCCAGCAAAATGATTAAAGACGTACTGATGAGTGTGATTAACGCACAAATTACTTTAATGTATCTAATGGTTCTTAGTTAGAAGCTACAGCAAGTGCTTCTAAAATTCACCTGACTGTGTGGTAGTACTGTTTCCTGCTTTATTTAACATGGATGTTGTACTGTTTCAATGTCTTTTACAGGGTGAGAAATATCTTATCCTCAAGAAGAAATACAGGAACTTGGTGCAAGAGCGAGAGGCCAAGCATCTTAGGCCAGATGGAGACCGACAGAGACATCTGAGTCCAGCGAGAACAACAACAACCTCAGTGCAGTGGGAAGTGACAGATGCCCCGACATCTACTCATCATGAGAAGGAGGAACAAGATGTGCCAATGTCATGTGGAGAGGCTGACGCCACAGCAGAGGTGAATTTGAAATCAACTCACTATTCTTTACTCATTGTGAAAGCCAGAAAAACTGTGGGACAGACAGGGTGTGGTTAAGCTACAACACTGGGTGCTAAAGTGTAAATCGCCAAATTTATTTCTCGCCTCAGTACTCTGTGGCTACTCTTTATGTTAGTGACACACTTATTTCTAAACAAGGGCGTTGCTGTTCGAGTGCTTCGGGTTTTTTCGCCCCTCTAATCTTAGCAAGTGTCAGCATTTACTGACAGAGCCGCTGTGTGAGAGAATAAAAAGCTGTTTTGTTTTGGCAAATAAGCAATGTCCAAGGCCTTCTGTCTTTGCATAAAGGGCATCGTTGTTTAATACATACAACCAACTGTCAACAAACATTATACTCCGTAACCTCATAGTCATCATCCAACCATATTGTTCATGCAATAAAATTACATTTATGCTATGCTGCTTTTAGTATTTTCACACATGATTAGTCTGAGCAGGTACTGAAGTAAACATTATCTGCCCACACCAGATGGTGAAGGACGCTAAAAAGCAAGCAAAATGCTAATTCTGGCTGTTAACCAACACTCGACACAGCTGAATGTTTGGCCTGTAAACACTCAGCTCACAAATTAGGATCACACAAAGTTTATCAGACACTGTATCTGTGCTCCTGTAGGACCAGCGAAAAGATGCAGACCCTGTGCACCGCTCTCCAAGGCCACCTCCTGCCATCCAGATCCATGAAGCCCCAGAGCAAAGCAACGCAGAGGATGAGCTGGACAGAGATTCTGGGTCAAAGGTGACAGTTTGTTTAACTTAGAGGCAGTGTTTATTCTGGCATTTCCTGGCACAGAATAGTACCATCGGTGCCTTTCACACACCTGCAAAATGCACACCCACTCACTAGCAGAGACGTGTGTGCTGGACGGTCACGTTTCCAGGAAAACTGAGATGCAGTGTAAAAAGAAAATAAAAATAAATGCCAGAAACTCATTTTAAAAAGCTGGACATGTTTACAAGTCTGCATTTCTTTAAAAAAAAAACACCTTGTATGATCGCTTCAGTTGTAATATCAAAAGGTTGCCCGTTTATGGTTAATATTGAACCTGTGCTATGTAAACAACACATGCAGGAATCCAGCCTGTAAGAGAATTGCTGGCAGTGAAGAATTCAAAATAGAAAATGAAAAGATTATTTTGTGATCATTTGAATTTTATAACAAGAATTTTAATCCAGGTAGAAACCAGAGTCTTTAATTCTGTGAAAAAGAGTTTAGACTGGCACTGATACTGCTGGAGAGGCTTATGTCTGTGCATTAGTTGTTTTAGACAGTTTTAGGTATCTGGTTAATTGGAAACCCTTTGTATCTGAAGATCTTAAAATAAATGTAACGTCCTTTTGATAAAAGCTGCAGGCCTTTCAGAAGGACATTCACTGCAGGTTCATTCTCAACATTTAGCGTCTTTCACTGTACTTTGTCAGAGGAAGGGAAAGACTTCAGGGGAAATGGGAAACACTGACTCCTTTCACCCACCAGGTGGTGCCAAATAAATTAACTAGATTTGTAACCACATGTTAAATGTGAGAGGGAGGAGGACCAGTCGGGGGAGAATCTGCATTTAAACTAAGCCCTCTTATCATGGTAAGCAGCAACATGTTGAAGCTCATTAGACATGGGGATTCATCCCAGGGACTTTCCTCGATGACCTGCACGACACGTAGATGAAATGTGTTGATGTGCGAGTGTGTTAATGTAGGACTTGAAGCAGATTAGGTGTGTTTATTTAAGGTGTCTTGATGCATGCTCAATCATCCAGGTAAGGAAATCCTAGAAAGTTGATGCTGGACGCTCCGTCTAGACAAACAGAATGAGCCTTATGGAGTTTATTTATGGTGGTAGCCACTACAACCTTTGATATAAGTACACCTTTTAAAGTGTTGACAGTTGTTTCATGTTACAGAGACCATCTGCCAACTGTGATATTTGGTTCTTGGATTAGAAAAGAAAAAGATATTTAGATTATCACAGTTCCCAGAAGTATTTGGGAGGAAACCATCATCACTTTGTTGTCTTATCCACTAAAAGAATTAACAACATGGTGTTGCGCCACAAAGTTGCTGGGTGTAAAGTTGATGTCCAATCTGATTTTCTTCCCACAGACATTGCCCAAATGTCTGTGCTACCTTATAATCTTCTCAGACCTGTCGAAATTTGGCCCACTTCTCGAGAAGCGCTAAGGCAGGAGTGGCTCCACATCAAGAGGTTTTAGTGTGTCATGTGGTTCTCCATAGGGCAGATCTGCTAAACTCATGTTGGTCACAACGGATTACAACTAGAGCACAACTGAAAAAGCTGATTTATCAGTGCTGGCATGTGCGTTGGAGAGTTAAATAAAAATGCACCTCCCTCATCTAAACTTAAAGGAGTATTTTTTAGTAGTGCAAATGTGTGTGAAGACATTCCCTGCTGTGTGGTTCATGTGAGAAAGAACAGCTGTGGAAAATGTTGATTCTCCAGAAATAGTCAAAATTGAATGTGAAACAGCTTACATCTATCAGAACAATTGGCACAAACGTTTGGATAGAAATTAATAAAATATAATTTCTAAAAAGAAATATACATTTTTAGATTTAGACATGAATGTAGTCTTGAAATCATTCTCGATTCTTATGTTCAGCACTGTAAACCTGAACAAATTAGAACTTGTATAGTTGTAAGTCTTTTTAAGTTTATGAACTTAAAAGTTGAAGCTTATCAGAACATTATCAGAACAACAATATTTTGACTACATTTGATATGCATATTCTGACAAAAGTTTTAAAAAAAGTCATAATAATTAAATTCAGAAATATTTAGTAAGTAGAACTTAATCAGTGATCAATTTGCTTTGATCAATGGGCCTTGATCAGTAGTTGTTGATCAATGGTCATGAGAATTTGCATATTAATGATGAAGGAACTGACTCACAGCCCATTGTTTCTTTCAATGGTGCTAGGTGCTAGTTTCAGTCAAGTTTTAGTTTTTGTGTAATGTGCTGTTTATAAGATTGGGGAAACCTGCAGTCAGCTGAGACTGAAGAAGTCATTTTGATGAGTGACGAAATGTTTCTCACACCAAAAACGCTACGTCCAGATAAACAGAATCAACCTTTTGGGAACTAGAACTTAAAGTTTTCATTTATGTCTCCCATGCGAATAAGTTGACAAAACTTAAAAGGAAGTACAACAGAGTCACTTTTTAGGTTTACCAAAACTCTGTTTGAACTCCTTTGAAGGTTGGACCTCTGAGTACACATGCATTGGGGGGGGGGAGAGAGTGCAATACAGCAGAACTACTTAGTCAGTTTAAAATTAATTGAACTATGAAGAAGTGATAGTTGTGGCTCTTCTCCATACAGTGCTATTTGTTCAAGTTCCTCCATACTAGTGTAAGAGATACCTGTATGGAGGTATCTTGGAGTATCCAAGAGATGCCCCAAATTTTGCCTGCCAGCATGTATGCTACAGTGAGAACACATTTAGTGGTGTGGCTAGCATATTTGGTTTGTAGAAGAAGAAAAAGAACAATAATTCTCACTTTCAAAAGGCTGAGGTGCAGCAACATCTTCCTCTCAAAAAGCTCAGCCATTTCCACATGGTCATATCGCTAAAGGTTAATTTGTCTTCTTTTTTTTTTTTTTTAAACAGCTCATGTCACTTACCTAACAAATACTCCTGCCCTTTTTTATCAGTTCTGAAATCTTTATGAACTTCATCCCCTTAAATTTGAAAGACTTTGTCATAAGGTCTGTATACAATAGCAGTTTGTCTCAGCTGCCGTAGCAAACTCAGTCAGCTAAATTAGTGAAGTGGCTAGGTTAGCTTATTAGCTGTTAGCTAGCTACCACTGCAAAGAATAGATTTGCTGACATTTCACTAAAATGCTTTAGAAAAGAGAGAAATCTAAAGAAAATTCAAGTACGTACTGTGATACAAACAATGCTGTTAAAGGTCAACAGTGACTAATACAGAGCCACTTACAGCCAGTGTTCCTTGCTTTTCAATGAGTCTTCCAATCAAGCAACTGCAGACAAGTGGATGGACCCCTATACTTGACAGGAAATGACCTCACTAGTGAAGTCTATTTTAGAAAATAAAAATCTAAGTAAAAAGGTCTGTTGACTGTTTTTAAAGCTTGCAGATAAATGCCTCAATAAATTCATTATTCTTAAGTCAAATTGTTTTTTTTTTTTACATATTATAAAATTTCTATGAAATATTTAAAGAAAGAAATAAAAGCAAAAAAAAGATAAATATTGTTAAACTTTGTGTATAATGTTAGTGCAACAACCTGTGAGCAACCGATAAAAGGACATTCTAAATCAATCTCAATCAACCCAGCTGATATACCGACTAAACATGTATGTTTGGGATCAAATTAACCCCAGGAGTAAGATGTCTGCCATATAATTTAAATAATTTAGTAAAATTAAATTATATTTTTGTAAGTAGCAGGTATCTAATATCCAAAATAGTTGAAGTTGATTCAAAATAATAAGTTGAATTAACTCAAATAAAAGAAAGTGTTAGATGAATTAAGCTTTTTTGAGGTACTCGAACTAATGTAAAAATATGTTTACATTACTTAGTTTATTTAAGTACTTTCAACGTTTGGGTTTACAGTGAGATTATAAAAGTTGATGAGCTTTAAAAGCCTTGCAAGCCTGTTCATCCATCCATCCATTCATCTGGCTGGTGTAGTAGCTTTGCCATGATTGGTTCCTCACCCTGTTTTTAAGCGAAAGCCCGGACACTCTTCGAAGGAAGCTAATTTTTTCTGCTTGCATATTATTTGGGTCACTACCCTCAGCTTGTGGCAATAGGTGACGGTAAGAATGCAGACTGGCTGGTAAATGAGCAGCTTTGCTTTCATACTCCAGCTAATTTTGGTAATCAGTTGGCTTTTTCCTCTTACTCCCATGATGAGGTTAACATTTGTGGAGGCACATTTGTTTTAAGTGAAATATCTTTACTCAACTATGTGAAGATATTTATGTAACAATAACTTCAGGAATTCTTTGAAGAATACTGATATGCTAAGATGGAGAACTAACAATTACCTGCTAAACATCCCACTGTAACCATGTAATAATGGGAAGTTTTAACTCAAAGCATTTCTGTCTTTAAGTACATCCTCAGTGTCTGTTGACTCAGTGGCCTGTTTAACTGTGGCACTTCAATAAATATTTAGATTTTGGACAAATGGTCACTTTTAGGACCGCTTGAGAATAATTTTAAAGGCGAGATGAAAACTCAAACAAAAAACATCATTTTGACAGTGAAAATAATGCTTATATGCCTTAAAACAGTGCTGAAATGGTCTTTGCTGAAATTGAGATTCTTTCATCCTCTTCTGTCTTTCCCTTGAATACATACCCAACAATGGTATTTTGTTTTCTCTGTCTGTTATTACTGGTCGCCAGCAAAAATAGCTAAAAACGCATGTGTGCCAGAGTGGAGTGGGCTGGATAAATATCATCCCTCCACTTTTCGTGTTCGGCATAGTGACATGTGCAGTTTGTGCCACAGACATGAAAGGGCCGAGTGTTCTAACATGATGTCTCTGTGTGAGCTGAGAACAATTTGCAATTCTCTCACACATAAATCAACCACTATGACACTTTTATACACCGCTTTCATTATTTAAGAAGTTCTCTTCTTGACCTCTTTACACTAATATGGTGACAAAAACATATGGCCTGACTGCAGGCGAGTTGTTTTTTGGGTTAATTGTTAATTGGATTGTTATTCATTACCCCTTATGTGTGAATGCGTCACCTCTGTCTCGCTGTCTCATTACCTATCTATCTGTCTCACACCCTTTGGTCACATCTCGCCGGCTGGAAAACATCACAGCAGTGTGACCAGTGTGTGAAAAAGTGTGTGTCCTGTGATCTCAAATGATGTTGTGGGAGTGTTATGACTGAAACAGTAGTTAACTTTTATCAGAGCTCAGCTTTTTGTCACCTCTGAGTAACACTCTTCTGACTTTGTGTTTCAGTCTGAGTCGGAGCAAGACGAGGAGGGTACAGGCAGTATGGGCTCTGCTTCTGTCGCTGTAAGTGCTTCTAGCTCTTTTTTCTATTGCTTTATTATTGATGAAGAGATATAAGTGAACCATTTCAGGAGTAGAGCCGCTGAAGTTTCCTTTTTGTCTCATTAACATGTGTCAATCATGGATTTGGCCTTGTAAATACACATTCACTCCCCCTGTGGTTTCACTAAACAAACAGCAGACGTTAAAATCCAAACCGTTGAAACCAGCTTCATCATGGGCGTCTCCCACAATGTGTCAGCTGGCTGTGACTAGTAGCATGTAGGAAATGGATTAGAGGTTTGTGGCCTCAGCACTATCAAAAGAGCCCATAACAGGATGTGTGTGTTTGTGTGTGTGTGTGTGTCCTAGCTGGATCCTTTAGAGAAGGAGTGGATCTATTCTGCTGCCGGTGCTCGAGTCCCTGACCTCTCTCAGCTGCTCAGACAGGACCGCGCACTGGCAAACAAGAAGGTAGTGCTGCCCTCTGCCTCAGTGCTTAAAAGGATAAATCCAGTTTAGTACAAATTGGACATTTTACTATTATCACTGGATTTGATGGGGCAAAAAACACAAACAGCCAAACAATCAGAAAGTTTCACTTTAAACACATAACTCCTTTTCCAGACTTATTTAGAAAAGGAAAAAATGGTAAAACTATTATTGAAAACTGTTTTGGAATTGGGTAACGCTGGCGAAGGACAGATATAATATAACAAAGTGGGCACAAGGTAAATTTTAATGAGGCCTCGCTAGACTGTCAACTTGTTAAGAAGGTATTCCATGAAGAAACCCATGAAAAAAAGGTCTCTGATAAGTTAAGAATACTTCTTACAATCAAAAGTATAAACAAAGATACGAATGTTAATTAACCTGCTAAATTACGACAGGTGAAGTAATAAAATGTATCTTCTCACAATGCAACATGGAAAGAAGATCAGTTTTACATGGAAATCTTGGAATATGGTGGTAATTGCCAAACAACTAACCATTGATACAAACCAAGTGCGCCACGAAGGTATGATGCATCCCATCACACCCTAAAAACGTGACAGATTATGGTAGAAATTCTGTATTATGTAATCTTTTACATATATATTTAGTGTCGACATTTGTCAAAAAGGGTACAAGAGATGTAATAAACTTAAATGATTTGTTCTTACTGAAGCAGATAACACCAATTACTCATTATTAAACTATAATTAAAATAAATATTAGGCTTAGCGGTGGGTCAGTGAACACCCGTTGATCTGGAAAAATGTATATTTCATTACAGTTTTGCTGAGGTTGCTGGCTGTTGCTAGGTAAAATCAGTTGCAAAGAGGTATGCGGTGCTGCAAAGTTGTGCTTCTGAAAAAGTGCAGCAGGGCAGAATTTCTACTCTGAAGGGACAATTCAGTTGGTAGTTGTTGGGCTTATGCAAAGAAGCAGTCTGGTAGTGACCAAAGCAAACACAAGAAGGCTTTTGGTGATATGCTCAGCCAGCAACTACGGTACTCACCAACCAGTCGGGTGGAATACACATTTTTCCCTCGTGATCGGACCATTACCAAATGGTCTCGAGCCCTGTGCGACTGAAGTGTTACATTAAAATTGTAGTTTTCAGAAGTTTTCACCTTGCAGGTATTACTTTATAGCAGCATCACCTGACAGACTTTAGTGGTACTTAAAGAGTCTCCTGACATAGCAACACAATCCACACCCTGACGACCTGATTCATGTTCCAACTAACGGTTGGTCATCACAGTGCAAGAGCTTTAGAGGAAATTTGTCTCCCCTTTGGTACTTACACAGTAACTTGTAACTTACTTTACACAGTCTATTTATTTATTTATTATGTTTACTGAAACAATTCGTCACACAGCATTAATACAGACAACAGCATCAGGGGTTTTTAAAAAACTATTCTTGGTCTCGTCTTTTTAATCTTCACAGTCCACACCTGCTGGAAAATTACAGCAGTGAGCAAAAGGGGCTTTAAAACTCTGCTGGTTCTGTAGTTCCAGGAAGTACTTGAGTAAGGATAAAATCTGATTGTTTCCTTGCTTGTGTTTCTGTCCCTGTCAGAATTCAATGGTTATTCTAGTATTAAAGACATAAATAAATGATGACTGAAAAAAAGATGAGTAAACAAAAAGAAAACATATCTAACCGTTTCAAATGGCTGGAATAATAATTAATATTTGTTTTCACTAATACTTGTGTTCTTGTTCTATTTTTGGTGGGGTGGTGATACCAGGATTTCACTTCAGTGAGTATTTGATACCCTATACGTAGCATGTTGCAGTATTATATCTACTTTGTGTTCATTGTTGTTTATCGTTCAATGACTATTTCTGACCTGTTGCTTCTCGCGTTCTCTTTTTGACACACGATGGCCCCTGGCTGTGACCGTGCCCACCTTTTCCAGGGTGTAAGTTTCACACATCATACTTCCATCTGCATCCTGTAGAAATTCGAAGTTCATTTCCAATGCCCTTTGGGAAAATTCTCAATGCATCTGCAATGACTTGTACTCAGATTTGTCTTTCGCTTTCGTAACGTTTACAAGCTCATCCTGCTGCAATTTTTTCCCCTTAATAGTATTCTGAGAACTCTGTGTTAAAACATCCAGATCACGCATTTCAAAGGTCCACTATCAAAAGGATTATGAAAGATAGCTTTTTAGCTCCTGTGCCCCCCTGACAACCCAAATCCTTTTATTTGTCTCCCTGTGCGCTTAAGAGATTTTGAGCTCCTGTTTGTTGTCCCTCCCCTGTGTCACAGTTCTCACACCGTCCTGTGGCCATGGCAGACCACCTTCTAAGAGTAGCCTTAAGCCTTTGCCATCTCTACCCGGACAAGATAGCACGGCCGCCATTGAAGTTTAGGGAGATGGGGAGGGAGGGGGGGGATTAAGGAGAGTCTTAATGCCCCACAAAGAGTTCACCCACTTAAAGATAATCTGAAAGTAATAGAGGAGGCTGGGATTAATTGTAGAACAATGCTGGTTGTGTCCCTGGGAAGGTGCTAATTCCCCCTCAGGCCTCTTTGATGTTCCTCTTTAGCCTTCAGCCTTTCCCTGCTCTGCAGTGGTAGAAGCATTTCCAGAGATAATGCACAGTGATACCGACAATCAAAAAGTCACACGACTGCTGGCGTCTTTAACACTGGGAATTATTATATTTGATCTTTTGCTGGCTTGATTTTACTTAACAGAGGTTTAGCCGAGTGTACCACATAGCAAGCTGCAAATCACACGTTTGAGCAGCGCTGAAGGGATTACCCTTCAGTGTTGGGAAGACTTAAGTGTTTCCTGTTCTGACAAAATGTTTGTGAGGATAAGGTGGATTTATAGATATGCTCTTCAAACAGTGACCTAAAAGTGAAGGCTTAACACAGGTCATCTCACCTGAATGCAGCACTTCTCACCCCAGAGTCTAATGGCCTTTCTCTCTTCCTGTTCTCCTCATTACGTGGGCCTCCGTTCCTGCCGTGATGGACTTCCCCTGCCACACAGTTTGTAAGTACATCATTAGCCCATCACTCCTCTCTATCTTCCTCCACATCCAGGGAAGTGTCAGGCACACAAGGCCTTTGTGTCCCCTGTCGATGTCCTCTTTAGCCACCACTTCCCTCACTGGAGAGCAAGTGGTGGGGACAGAGCCATCCCTGAGTGAGCAGACAGGTGGGGGGTTACCTCAGTGTGCAGGAACAGAAACGAGAGGTGCAGGAGGGAAAGACGCAGCATCCTGTTCAGCCTCGTCCATCACTCCTGCCCACTGAGAAACCCGCTGAGCCGCCTGTCAAAGAGCCCCTTGGCCAATCTGTCTTAAGCTGTGACAGGGGACAGACAAAAGAGATGGAGATACTCCAGCCAGACAGCATCTATCACAATCTGTCTCGCAGACGAGCGACGCGGAGAGATGGAGCTACATATGGCTTCCTCTTTGCCTTCAGTGGATAAGATAGATTTTTCTGTTGCCAGCTGTTGAACCAACTTGTTTTGCTATGAGCATTAGGAGTTCTGGACAAATTTTTAACCACTGGTAGTGTCAGTTTCTCTTGATATTTAAGTCACAGGTTGACCATCCAATCCTCTGTGAAACTTTATCTGGTCCCAACATTTCTAAACATCTACTACATTAAAAAAAAGGTGTTGACAGCATTAATAAGACCGTTTTTACTAGTCTCGTGGGTACAGAAGATTCTGTTTCCCATACAGATTGGTGGAAATGACACAAGTTACACAATACGCATATTAATGCTGACAAATTTGACTGATATAACATTTTTGAAATATTCACTGTGAAAATGAACATAATGAGGATTTATTACTAATGGGGTATGACAGAAAAAAGGACAAAATGCTAATATATCCACTTAATTTGTCCAAAAGATTGAATTTTTATACATATTACACACAAATGTATATATATTATACACATTTTTAAACAGCTGCAAGTTTTTTAAAGATCTGAGGCATTCAAAGACTGTCAAGTATTTATTTTAAAGAAAACAGAGATATTTAGCTTTGTAACAGAAGTGTACTGGTAGTTGTAATGGTAATTTATATAATGCAGTGTGCTTCTAATTTGAGAGAAAGAGAAGAAAGCCTTAAAAAAAAAAAAATCATCTGATTTTTCGCAGCCATGCGTTTTTATCAAATAACGTCAGCATTTTTTATGTTATGTTGTAGCAGTGAATAGTAGTAGTGAGATCGTTCGACCAGTTAAACTCATAAAATCATCACGATAAAAGAGGTTTTTTCATTTTATTTGATCCCCTGTGAAGCTGTTCAGTTAACCGAAGTAAAGAGGTTACAGGGTTTTCATCTGTCCGCAGTTAACATGTAATTCTGAAATGGTTACTGTTTGATTTGCTCTGTTAAGGGTCAAACTGCTGAAGGGATGGATGTGGTTACTTAGCTGACATCTGCACCTACGCTGCTTTCACCTGTTGATAGCCCATAATTATGCAGCTTAAAGTGTAGGAAAAACAGAGGAGATCACAGTTCTAGTCAGACAGGTGGATATGATTTGCATGTGCACATGCGTATTATTTTCACACCTATGAACATATTTTTGCTTGAGGACCTCTCCGTGTATCTCTCAGACTTCTATCATGGGAGCTCTTGTTTTCCTCCTTGACGTGTGCTGACAGTAGTGCGGTGATGTCTGGGTGGGTCTCCCCTCTGCGGGTCACACTAACATCATCAATCTTCCCCCTGGTGACAGGCGGCTGGGCCCCCCAACTGTGGGCACAGGGCTGTGTTGTTTTGTAATTAGGCTTCGTTAGATGGCAGGAAACCATCCCTCCATCTTACCATCTCTCCACAGCCCTCCCCCGTGCACAGCTGGCCCTCTGAACTCAGATAGCCAATAAGAAGCCCAGCTCACTGTGGACCACTTGTAATAATGCCAAATATTATCTGATCATATTTTTAGGACTAACAAATGTTTCCCTATTCCAAACAGACAGCTCTGCACTGGGCTGCCAAACATGGCAATGAGGAAATGGCCACACTCGTGGTTAATGCCGGTGGCGATGTCAACATTAAATCAGTGAGTGCATTTTTTTCCCCCTTAACTTTAGACAATAAGTTTAAAAGGGCACTCTTAACGATTTCATGCTTCACATTATGTATTTAAGTTCTAAAAAATGTATCCAAATAAAAAGAATCCCTACATATTCTAACATTCACTTCCCAGTATCCATGTCTTATATTATCCACTAATGTAGAAGTCCTATTTATATTTAACATTATCCAAGTCACAGTTGGAGCACTCGTATGCACAGAAAAGCATGAAACCCTGTCATTTGATTCATCGGTCCAAAACATTTAAGTACTATATTAGTATATACATACTTCTTTGACGATAATGTAAAAGGTAGAAGACGTATTATGGCAGACTAATGCAGATCTATCAGCAAACAAGTATAAATGCAAGCAACAATATTGCCCAGAGAACTATAAATTGCACTTTAATGAATGGCTGTTTGGCTAGTTTAGCCTGAATGCTTAAAAGTTCAGGCTCTAGGCTTACCACCAGAGACAAAGAATAAATTATAGCTGTTTTTATAAGCAGTGTCTCCATCGTGGGTGAACTGAAACCACAGCAGTGCCCTTGTAAATTTTATTTCAGTTATGCTTTAGTGTAAAATCACAGTCATTGTTTTCTTCATGGCGTTCTTCTTTCTTGCAGCACGTGAGTAACCAGGCTTTTCCCGGGCACGGATGGGTAATGTACAGTAAATGATTTGTCTTGAAAGAACAACCGCCTCGCTGCTGGCCTCTTCTGCTGTGATGTAATGCTCCTAAAAGATCTCTGTGAAGATCCAGCTGTACAAATGTATTACAGGAGCACGTGTTGCGGGGCTGCTGCGGGTCTACTCCGCTAATAAATCATGTCATGTCATTTTAATTGTTTCCCAAAACAGTGCGTCAATGTGCCAGCATGCACAACTCTACAACTATGCAATTTTCAGAGAATTACATGCAATTATGTTTTTATCATTATCTGGTGTTTCCATAACCTTTGCTAATTTGTATATTCTTTTCCATGCTGTTTTCATTGGCTGTCCTTGGGCCCGGGAAACTCTAGGGGGTAGGTACTTTCAGCAACCTTCCAGCACTTTGCCAAAGTTATTCCCCTCACCTCCACACAAAGTCAAAATGTAAACTGGAAACTCTTTATGTGTCGGTTGAGTGACTGTTTTTGGCGTGTTTGCATACCAAGCGGCCTCACCAAGAAATTACCTTCAGAATACACATGTACTTGCATGTTTTCATTTGGTTTTACACTTATTTTTGCTCTGCAGGGATACACACCTTTACACATCGCAGCGTTACATGGACATCGGCACATTCTTGACCTGCTCGTAGGGACATACGGTAAAAAGTGGTTTTGTTTAACCTACTGGTGCCACAAAAAATGCTTTGCAAGTTTTCGCCACTGAAAAAGAAGCTTGCAAGTAATTTAAAGAGTAACAGCTGGTTACCTCATGTAGGTAGATTTGTTTACCTTTAGATTATGTGTCATTCCTTAAAGCTTTTGGTGTAAGATGTCAGTGAAGTATCTGCTTAGGCTTATCTGCTGCTTAGTCTCTGCTTTCAGTCATTTATTTTTTGTCTTACCAGGGGCTAAAGAAAACTTGCGGGACTACAGTGGTCATCTTGCCTGCCATTATCTTAACATCAAAGAAGCAGAAGGTCCAGATGAAGACTGTGAGCTACGTGAGTGAATGATTCTTCTAGTTTTGCTGCTAAAACTATTTGATGACCTTCCCTGCTGTGGTTTTGTATTTTGTTTAAATTCTTTATTTGGAATTAGCTCCTTTGAAAATAGGATTAATACACTTCAGGCTCATCCACACAAATGTGCATGGGGTGAAAAAAGATATAGGGGAACATGTGCGTTATTCTCAGTCTTATGTTTTTCTTTTCAGACACTGGTGATCAAGTAAAACGGAACAATACAAACAGTGTAACGCATGAGAATTAAATCCCCCGTCCAGTCGGTGCTATTTTGCCAACTGTGTCATCTAACTTCAACATTTTAATATAAAATCAACAACATCAACTGCACAAAATAGAATCAATAATAATAAATAGATATTCAGCTGCATTACATTCCTACATATCAGACTTGCCTGAGATATGTAGTCTGCTTAGATGTTTTCTGCTTTGTGCAGAGCAACAACTGCAGTGCGTCTGCCCTCTAATACCCACATCTGTAAACAGGGAATGCCAGTCAGGTTGGGGTTGATCGTTTCACACAGCAGTGTGTGTCTGTATCAGCCCATCACAGCAGCTTTACCATTACAAACAGTGATCATAATTTCTTCAGAGACACCCTGCATAGCAAGAGTTTGCCGCTGCAGGATGCTGCAGGATGCATGTTAAAAATCAAGGTGGGGGATGAATTCTTTAAAATATCCTTTTAAAGAAACTTTCCTGTTCACAATAGGAGTGTTTCAAAAAAAAAATCTACATCCAGAAGAAAACACAAAAAGCAACAGGTGGTGATATAACTCTAGAAGTATAGAAGTGTCGGCCAATCAGCAGCCTAGGAGGGATAGTTATTAGACAAACAAACACGGCACATGGCAGTACAAAGGAAAATCTGAAAATACAGCCGTATATGCTGACGTCCATGTTCTTTTCTTACAGCAATACACACTGAACGCATGAAGTAAAACAAATTAGTTCACACATTTGACACTTAACTCCTCGTCCACACATAAGCAGTTTTTTAAACATTTGGTTTTGAAAAGGAATCCTTGGTTTATCACAAGTCACTGGGACTGTGTTTGATTTAAGCAGCTCTAACCACACTTTAAGTTGAAATAAATAAATAAATAATAAATAAGTAAAAATATTTTTTTAGGAATAGCTCAACATTTTGGAAAACATAGAAATTATGTAAGCCTGCCTATCTAAATACTTGCATATCACTTTTCTTTAATAATATTTATATATTTTACTATATTCGAATTTATTCTACTAACTGTAGTAACACAACAGCTTTCATTTCTTTTAAATAACAATTGATGTAACTGCATATTTATGGACACTGACACTAATAGAAACTATGAATCCCCTGTCACTCCTCTGTGACATTCAGTAACCCCATCCTGAGTCATTTTCCTTTTGCCAAAAGGAAAAACAACACTTGCTCCTCATCCAGGCTTGTAGTGCAGCTACACTGAAGACAGTATTCAATACAGAGGAAGTGATCAGGTTTTATTGATTAGTAAATCTGTGATGTTTTGGACTCAAAAACGTACCTAACCGTCTAACCTCCTGCAAGCAATGTGCACTGAAGGATGAAGGATTAAATAAGGAATTTCTGGACAGCGGAACTTAAACTTGGACCCAAATTCAAATTTGAAAAGGCTGTTGGAAGACATCCATAGAAATATGCAGATTTATTTTATCCGCTTCTGTTTTTGAACAGAGGAATGTCACTCTGTCTGCACACCAACTGTGAAGTAGACAGTTACTGTAGTTTTGCATAACTATCTGGTGTAGGAGGGAACAGCAGTGTTCTGTGTTTATGATAAGCTAAGCTACACCACATTGGTGTTTATTTCCTGATCTAAACTCGACAAGACAGAGGAGAGGACTGTTTTCCCAAATGTTGAAGTTTTTTTTGTATGCCATGTCCCGTCCTGAAACACCTCTCTACAGTTTGTGCCCATTAATGGCAATAAAAAAAAGGATTTGATTGACTCAGAAATCATCAAACCTTGGTTTCACTACAAAGTTTCACCTGCATTGTTACTATGTATCAGCTACTATTAGTGTAACATCGGACACTGTATAGAACACTGTGGTTCTTTCACTCATTAATGAATTTTGTTTCTTATGCTTTCAGAGTTTCAAGTAACTCAGGCCAGGGAGCGGAACAAGAACAGGAAGTTGGCATCGTTGTTTCACTCCAAGAAGAAGTGGGGGTCAGCAGAGGAGCTGGCTCCGATAGAGGAGGAGAGGACAGCGTCACATCAGCTCGCACTTCCTGCTTTTAGACCCAGAAAATTCTCCCGCTGAGGGAAAACAAACTCCAGGGTCAACCCTGTTCTGACGCTGTTCCCACACTCACTCTGTCACTCACTTTGCCCTTTCAGGCATTCATATTTACACACATGTACCAAGTATTAATGTGTATATTTATTATATGTACACAGACACACACACACAGGATTCACACCTGTGCTTACAGATCCAATCAAATGTTTGCCACCTAAACAAAATTAGAGAAACCAGGTATACTTGTTCATGCATATAATCCATATTTTTCCTTACAGCTTGTTTAAATATTTTTTTGAATTTTGAATTTTGTTGATCAATGTTCTTCAGTGTTACTTAAAGTGACACATGCCTTACAAGTTTTCCTTAAGCTGAGGCCATGATGGTCAAGCTAGTGATTTTCTCTATTTTTCTTGTTTTATTGTTTACAAATTCAATGAAAAGACCAAAAATGATAACGTCTTAGTCTCCCTCTCTATACTTGTTCAGCCTTTCAGTGGTTTTCAGATCTCTAACTTTTAAAAAATTGCTCAAGAATGCACATTTTTAAGAGTGACCACCGAATCAAGACTTTGTATTATTGGAGAGTATTTTTAGTCGTACATCGGCTGGCTTAGTAAGAATTTAGGGATTAAAATAAACTACAGTTTTAACGATAAATAATACACCACACTGATCTGTAGTTGGTAGGGTTTTAAGCAACGGCTGAGCATTCTGGCACAGAAAAAAAAAGTCTGACTTTAAGTTGAGCGATAATACTTCTCATTTCCATATATACAAATAAAAGTTACCAGACTTGGCCCTTAAAAGGATCATTTAATGTCTTTTGTATGTTTCGGTCCTTTAAATGCACCATAACTTAAGCTGAACATTGCAGTTAAACTGATTTCCTTCAGTCCTTGACAGCAGCTAACGTTAATTATGTGGTAAAAGTATTATTTAAAACTTAACACTCTTAAGGGAATGTACAGAACAGTGCCTCACTGCAAATATAATTCACAAAAACACTAAATTTAGCATTTAACCATTTCATTTCACTCTGCTTCTTTAAAAAAAACTTTGCTCATTGCCCTCCTTTCAACAAAAATAAAATGCTAAACCTTCCCTCTTTTTCTCGCGCTCCTCCTCCTCCACCAGCTCACACTCAAATACAGAGTCTATAACACGACTTTATAAATGAGCAGCTGGAAAATTCACCCAGTAATGAGATAATGCAATCAAAACAAGGATAAATATTTGTTGTGTCTAAGCTGTCTAAAGCAGGTTTCTTACAAATGACTTTTCAGACAGTACTGAAGATTAGTTTCTTGAGTAAATGAATAAGCATTTGCCTGTTTGCATAATATTTGGCAGCTGTGCTTCTAATTTGTAGTAACTGGGCTAAACATACAAATTATTTTTTCTTTTTAGATCTTGAGATTTAGTGCAAAGCAGTATTAGCATTTTTGCCAACCTATATCTCTGCTGTGCCCCTGCTGGTTACTCTCAGGTTAGAATAACTGTATCTGACGTGAGGCAGTTTTTCTTAGCTTGGTGGTAAAATAACTCTGAGCACAGATGAGGTCACTCTGTTACTCGATGAAGGATTGTTAGGGAAACAAAAAGTGGTGTTTGCTGATTGTACTTGATTTGCTCACCAGCTGTTTATCAAAATGCCTGGTAACTTTTTTTTAAAATGCGTTGTTACATTGTGTTCTAAAGATGTTGCCAGCTGCTTTTAATGCTTTAAAAGTGACATATTCATTACTTTTATGTTGTTGGCAAAGATTCTCATTTTGTGTCATTTATTTTTAATCTAATTCTAGCCTCAGTTACATTTTTGCACATTATTTATATAATGAAGATATTTTCTAATTAAACTGCCTTTTATATGAAGGTGCGTGTCTTTGAATTTTCTTCCATCAACATTGTTGAGCGTCCACTTATTTGCGACATTGAAATCGACTTGGCCGTTCACACCGCGGCTTCCCTGGCTTGTAATATTGCTTTGTTTTCTCTTTCTATACAATAACCCCGGTTTTTCTTTAAGCTGCCTTTGATCTTACTTCAACTACATGACTTGGTGGGCTACAGATGGAGTAAATATGGGCCCTGCTAACTCGCCATACGGCTTTAGACCTTAATACCTGATTAGCTGAAAAGGGCAGCACTTGCTTTTGGTTCTTGGATATCAGACAACACAGAGGGGAACAGAGGCAAGTGTTTTTGTGCTTCATTTTTGAAGCGGGGATGTTGCGGGGGGGATAAGAGGGAGTTTCTGTAATAGATACTTATCTTACTGCCCTCAAGCCCCTCAAACAAAGTCCCCCTCTGAAGAGATTATAACCCAGGGAGGGCACATTAACTTTAATCCGATGCTTTGAGGCCTCGCACCCCCATACCTCCCTCTGCCCCACTTATTTCAACCCTCCTGTTGTCGGGGGGCTACCTTGTATCTGGTGCATGTATGAGTAAGGCCTGTGGCTACACACGAGGGTTGTGTTTGTGCGCATGTATGTGTGTGAGTCAGGGGGTGGAGCGACTGTTTCAATAGCACGCTGACTCTAATGAAAAGCATTGAGGGGTGCATACTGCTGTGTAACTGATTCCTCTCTCTGAAGAGATTAGGCGCTACATTGTTGGTTCGGTTGCTCATTTCCATGAGAGCGCAGCCTCCCACCAGCGGCTGCTTGGCTTTGTTATTTTGAGTTGAAAAACACAGAGCCCAATGTCTTTGGCTTCCTTGTTACCATTGTTTCACAAATAGGCCAAAATGTAGATGTCACGTCACAGATGCCCAATAACCTCATTAGCTGCTCTCTGCTTGACCATAGAAAGAAAATAATAGATGTGTGAACTTCAGTTTGCTCAACTGGAGAGAATTTCTGCATAGCTCTGAGGTAACAATACTGTTGAAACTTTTGTTACGCAGTAAATAAAGGAGAACACATTGTGTGCATGCAGTCCATCTTGGCCACTGTTGCACTGATGCTGCCTATAATATAACTTTGAGATGTCATCCTTATTGTTTAACTCTACATATCTACAGGGAAACTGGAGGATGATGTGAGATAACAAATATTAGTAATTACAAAGGTAAAAAGACAAGATTGTACTTTAAATCCCAGTATTTCGCATTCATAATCAGTATATAAACTACTTTAAGATACACACCCAGAGAAAAGTGCTTACTCAAGTATTTTAACATGATACAGTAAAGCCGCTAAATAAATGCTCTTTTTGTTAACCGTTACATTGTGTCAGAATCCATTTATCAGTTGTTTATTCTGCTTATAAAAATGCTAAATAGGGACTGTTTTTAACAATATGCATGTTTGTAAATTCCTCATCCTCTCACCCTTCATCTAACTTTGATGTCACCGTCCTGTGTTTTTTTCTGTTGCACATGTGTGGAAGAAATTTTCAGCTGTGGTGAAGAAAAAGTCTGCAGCCAGCTAACAAGCTGATCTGCAACAACAAGCACACCGGGGAACTGATCTGACTGAGCTCACGGCAAACTGGCCAGGCCTCTAGCTGAGGGATCCTGGGGGTCCAGCACCCACCTACCGGGGCCCGATGCATGGAGATACCAGCAGCAGCGCCAGCTGTCACACTGGCCGTCACTGTCTAACCAACGCCGCCTGTCACTCACCCAGTGGAGAGCCGTCAATCAGACAACACCCAGGAGGGAGCTGGGAGGCGGGCCACTGCCCGGCCCTAAACAAAGACATACTTACATTTGCAAGCGGTTTCAGCGCCACTACTATTTTGAAAGAATGATAGAGTGGTCCTGATAAGAGCAATGACAAAGGACAAAGAATGGAAGGGGGTCTGGGAAGAGGGGGTCAGATAGCAAAGAGGTGGGAGAGCTTGATAACATTCACATTTTACTTACATCTCTCCATTTGTGTTGGTGCCCCAGGAAAATCCCATTAAGGAGTTCTGCCTGGGAAGCATTAAATAATTACTGCCAATTGACCGTCGGAGATTTTTTTTTAATCCACCCTTGGATTTGCTGGGATTTTTTTCGTGTGTGAAATTATACAAAAGAAATCGCAAACTTTGTCGTTTCATTTTGCCTCTTTTATACAAATACCTTTCAATATCTTACACGGTAAACTTGAAACAAAACTGCCATCTTCTGGTTCTACAAATCTCTGTAAACTTTCTCCTTCTTCCGTATCGAGTGCAGCAAAAATAAACTAACAAGCAAAAGGTGTTAAAGCTGCTAAAGCTTTTATTTAGGCTTTTGTTGTCTTCTTCGCACCTACATATGAGCTATTCTACTTGCATGTTTAGTCCCTTTGTCAGCTTGAGGGTATGGGGTGGCCTGTAATTGAGGTCACACCTACACCTATTGTCTTGACCTGATCATTAGACCACTTGCACTGTCATTCAGCATTTTACGCTCCCAAAATAAGAAAATAAAGGGGTCTTATTAAACTTCACATCGTGTTTAGTGAGCTATAATATGAAATATGCAGAGGATTTGTTAATAGCAGGAGGATATAGAGCATTGTTTCAGCACAGAGCACGGGCTCAGATGTTATCACAGATGAAGATGGGTTCATCCTCTCTGCTATCTTGCATTATCTCTCAGGGTACTGAGGACAATCGTCTTCCATTTGGTCACTTTTCTCTCCTGTAAATCACTGACATCCTAACAGCAAACAGTGCAAGCCAAACCTGTCAGAGCAGGACCAACACCTGTATTGTGGCAGAGTTGCCAAAAGAGGAAGAGAATGAAAAGACGTTCTTCAGGAGGGACAAAGGCTGCTGCCCTGAGCTGTTTGTGTTGTGAGATGTAGACTACTGAAGACATAAGCCTTCTTCTCCTTGCTCCCTAGTCAACCCATTGTTACTCTTGTACAAATTTGCTTTAGGCTATGTGGACCGCACCCAAATAAATTCCCCTCCCTCCCCCACCTTTCCTACGTTTTTTTTCCCTCTAATGCTACCCCCAAGAGTTCCCACTCTCTTTACATCTGGACCTCTGTTTACATACTTACCCTGTTTAGCAAAATCTTACAAATACCTCTAAGATAATACAGAGTTTACCAAAAATAATAAAAGTAAGAGAGAAAGAACAGAAACATTTAAATTAAGGTTTTTCTTAAATTAATAATAACTAACTTCTATCTAAAATGATAAGAAACTATTACTAAAGATATTGCTTCATCCTTTTCCTGCATCACTTTTCTCTTACTTATTGCTTGAGAACTACCAAAAGTTGCAATGCACTTATTTTTTTCTGGCTCGTAGTATCAGCATACTCAGCAGCAGAAACCCTCATAAGATCTCTTACACTGTATTTAGCATACACAATAGTATTTACACTCAGAGAAATGCCGTTGCTATTCGCTTTTGTCCATCTTCTGTTTTTATTGTAAACTTCCAACTGTGATGAAACAAGTAGGTCTTTTACACTGCAAGAATAAATACAGGAAGCTTTCAAATAAGTGCAGTGGAGTAAAAAGTTTAAAATTTCTCTTTAATCTGTGAAAAATATGCAGCATGGTTGCATATGTAGCCTAGATTAATGTGAAAGATAAAGGAAATAAATACGTAGACAGTGTAAAAAGTGAGATAATTGCTAGAGGTTATTCAGATTTAGAAGAACATTGTGCTGCTACAGAAATGCATCATAAAAAACAAATTAAAACAAAAATAGCAAAATCAAAGCTGACTGAAAGTACTGTAAAAAAAAACTAACAAAAAAAACAACCCAAGAAGCCAAATGAAAACCAAAGAACAACAACAAAAATAGCAACTTGCAGGTGAAAATTAAAGGTCGTCAATTTAAAATGAGAAGACTGAATTTAATCTTTTCTAAAGTGTCAGCTCTGCTTGTTTCAACACTTCTTTTACCACTTAATACAAGCACTCCTGCTATCACAACCAACACTACACCTCTAATGCTGCTAATAAGATAGTCACATTTATGCCAGATAACAGAGCTGCGCTCCTTTGAACACAAACACTCAGCTTTACTTCGACTTTTTTGAAGGGCATGAAGGAGGACAGCAGAATAAGAGGTGTAATCTTCACCTCTTATCTCTAACAACCCCCTTACACACACACACACACACACACACACACACACACACACACACACATGTTCACACACACAAACACTCAGCTTTACTTCGACTTTTTTGA